GTTAGGAACAAGACGTATCCGTCACCATACTCACCACCTCCTCCACTCACAATCTCATCAAACTAAACCTTAATTCCATTCCCAAATCCCTCCACATACAAACCATTAACGACGGGTTAAACCCCGGCCAAAAACCAGCCGCCACCACCCAAGATATCAACCAGTTCAGCGACGTCGTTTCGCAAAGCTTAGCCGATTTCTTTCGCCGGAATCTCGCTTCTAATACTTCCCTCCCCACGCCGAAATTCCTCGTTTACGACTGTTTCATGCCGTGGGCTTTAGCCCTGGCTCGAGACTCTGGTATCGATGCGGCGCCGTTTTTTACTCAGTCGTGCGCGGTGAAAATGATTTATTACCATCTTCGTCACGGCACTTATAAATTACCTCTATCGCCGACTCCATTATCGTTGCCCGCGATGCCGCCATTGGAGAACTGCGATTTACCTTCGTTCATCTCCAATCCAACTTCCTTCCCTGCTTTTTTCAAGCTGGTGATGGATCAGTACTCGAATTTTTCTCGGGCCAAATGCTTCTTATCCAACTCTTTTTCTTCGTTGGAAGAGGAGGTAGTTACAGAACAGAGTAATTCGTTTTCTCTTTCGAGAGAATTAAACCGGGTTATCTTTTCCCTGTTTACCCTATTCTTTAACTCCATCGCAATGTCTGTAAATTTGCTCAGTCGATATCTTCTGAACATGTTTTGAATCCATCTTCATGTTAATTACATTTCAATATTCTGTGTTATAAATGCTACGGCTGATTTGATGTGTATATATATCTTGCTGGTCTTTTTTTCGAACAGGTGGTGAACTGGATGTCAAGCCAATGGAGAATCAAGAACATAGGCCCTACAGTGCCATCAATGTTCTTAGACAAGCGATTAGAAGACGATAAAGACTACGGTCTCAGCCTCTTCAAACCAGATGCAGACACTTGCTTGACATGGCTGGATTCCAAGCAACCCGGCTCCGTCGTCTACGTATCATTCGGAAGCTTGGCGTCTCTGGAAGGGGAACAGATGATTGAATTAGCAAGAGGTTTACAGATGAGCGGCAGCCATTTCTTATGGGTGGTCAGAGACCTGGAATGGAAGCTTCCAGCCAGCTTCATAGAAGAAACTTCAGACAAGGGTTTGGTGGTGAGTTGGAGTCCGCAACTCGAAGTTCTCGCTCACAAGTCGGTTGGCTGCTTCATGACTCACTGCGGTTGGAATTCCACCCTGGAGGCATTGAGCTTGGGCGTGCCAATGGTGGCAATGCCGCAATGGACAGACCAGCCGACGAATGCGAAGTTCGTGGCGGACGTGTGGAAGGTGGGAATTAGGGTTAAGGTGAACGAAGGAGGGATGGTGAGTAGAGAGGAGATCAGTGAGTGTATAAAGGAAATAATGGAAGGCGAGAAAGGGACAGAGATAAGAAAGAATTCGGAGAAATGGAGGGATTTAGCTAGAAATGCTGTAGATGAAGGAGGAAGCTCAGACAAGAACATTGATGAATTTATTGCTTTCGTTGCCAGTAACTAAGCTTGAGTTCTAGGGTTAGGGTTTGGCCTTTATTTCTCTTATGAGATCTTTTGTCGGATGTGAAGCTAAATGCTAATATATATATATATATATCACTAAAAAAAAAAAATCAAACTATATTAAATTATAGAATTGTCATGTTTCTATCGATATATTAATTTAAAATATATCTTCAATATTTATTTTTTATTAATATAATAATAGAAAATATCCAATACATGAAAATTTGATGAAGTATTAAACTCACATTATCTATATATGTACAAGTTTTCGGCATTGGTACGCCATTGATTAATATCTCTAATATCATATATTAAATTTATTATTAGTTATTATTTAATTATTAAAATATATAAATTTTTATTAAAATTTAGTATTAATGTACAACCGTTAGCCATTTATTTATATAATTTTGACATATCTATATTTAATATATTGAAAAGAACATCTTTATATATTTATTTTTGTATAAACTTATAGTATTAACGTAACCTTTTAAATATCTTAATTTTTTAAATAAAAATTAAAATTATAACGTACATATTTGATTAAAAAAATAAATTTAATTTATTAAAATTTTTAATATAATAATAAATTAAACTTTATATTTAATTAAATTAAAATATTATAAATCACTTAACGAACTCTACGTGTAAATATAATTTAAAAAAAATTGCAGGTTTTATTTGCTTAGTTGGAAAATCAAAATGGCAATTTGGATAATGACAGAAAAGTGTTGCGTGCTGACGTGTCTTCTTTTTTTTTTTATTTTGTCGTTTTCTTCTAAGCTTTATTGAATAAAGACATCCTCCCACTTCTTCACCTTTACCAAAAGAAATGGAGAAGAAGAACCAGATGAAGGGAGCAACCGAGTTAACTCACCTCCATGTTTTGGTCTTACCATTTCCAATTCAAGGCCACATAAATCCAATGCTCCAATTCGCCAAACGCCTCCTCTCAAAAGGCCTTACCGTCACCCTCCTCACCCCTACTTCCTCTGCTCACAACCTCATCAAACCAAACCCTAATTCCACTTCCAAATCCCTCCACATCCAACCAATCGACGACAGCTTCCCACCCGGCACCAAGCCAGGCGTCACCGCTGAATACTTCAATCAATTCCGAGCCGGCATCACCAAAAGCTTAACCGATTTAATTCGCCACGATATCTCTGCTACTACTACTACTACTACCACCACCACCAAACCCCCGCCGAAATTCCTCGTGTACGACTGTTTCATGACGTGGGCGCTGGACGTGGCTCGCGAGTCGGGAATCGATGCGGCGCCGTTTTTTACTCAATCGTGCGCGGTGAACGCGGTGTATAATGATTTTAAGGAGGCGGAAGTGAAGGGAGGAGATGAGGGAGTGTCGCTGCCATGGAAGGGGTTGCTGAGCTGGAATGACTTGCCGTCTCTGGTTCATGAGACGACAGTGTACGGTGTTCTGAGAGAGTTTCTGATGGATCAGTATTATAATGTCGGGGAAGCCAAGTGTGTTCTGGCTAACTCGTTTGATGAGTTGGAAAACCAGGTAGATTTAGATTTGCCTCCTTTAATTATTAACTTACACGTTATTAATTGCGGTTAGTTTTGAAAATTTTTACACGCTGGTAAATATAATTAACTGTGTGGTAAAAAAATCTAAATTACCCTCATTGGAAAATCTTATTAACCGTGTAGGCAAAAGTTTTTTTGTGTTTTTATAAGCTAACTTTGTTAAATATTTATTTTACTAGTAGAGGGAGTAAGCATTTTATAATCATTCTAATAATTTTCGGTTTCCATTTTTGATTAAAAATTTTGGACTGAAATCTCCCACGTATCCATTATATACATATATATTATATAAAATATTAAATACGTAAATAATATATTTTATGTTTTTTTTAAAATATTTAAAATAAAAACATCAATTTAGAAATAATATTTAAAAAAAAAAAAAGTTGAATAAATTTTGGTCCGGTACCACCTAAAAGTAGATGATTTAATCAACAATCTAAACTAAAGTTATAATAAGTTACGTCTTTTGAGATCAATGTTCACTTTTATTTATTTTGAAAGTGATCCAAATAAACGAGACACGGTATGAAAATAAGAATAAAAGATTAAAAATAATTTAAATATATAAAATAAATCCATAAATTATTAATAGCTGCTTAACAAAATTGACAAGTGAAAACAACCACACAAATCGTGTTCGGCCAAAAAAAAAAACGAAAAAGAAAAAGGTCCCCCCCACGACGCCGACTAATATAAAAATAATAATAATATTATATATGTAAAAAAATATTACAATTTAAAATTCAAGCCAGTATTACACATTAAAGGCGCTGATTAATTTTTTGTTTTTTGTTTTTTGTTTTTGTTTTTGGTCAATGTACAGACCCCATGGGCGGTAAAATTTGTCTGCACTTGGTGGAATCTCAAAATATTTAAAATTAAAATATGACACATCTGATTTTTAATTGGCTCTTTTAATTACTTCAGATAAGCAATTATGATGTTAGGCACTTGGAGGGATCCGTGTGGGAGACACTTGCACATGCAAGAATGTGTGTGTGTGTGTGTGTGTGTGGCTTTTTTTCTTTTTGTTAAATATATATATATATATTCTTTTAAAAAAAATTTGTCCTTTCTAAACCAGAAAAGAAAAAGGTTGGGTTCACAATATAACTTTGAAGATTATAGAAGTTATAGATTTGTGAGTATATGTTATATTTTTATATGAAATTCACTAAATTTGAACAACCAATGTTATTTTCCCAACAGGTAATGAACTGGATGCCAAGCCAATGGAGAATCAAAAACATAGGACCTACAGTGCCATCAATGTTCTTGGACAAGCGACTAGAAGATGACAAAGACTATGGTCTCACCCTCTTCAAACCACAAGCAGTCACTTGCTTAACATGGCTGGATTCCAAGCAGCCCAGCTCCGTCATCTACGTATCATTCGGAAGCTTGGCTTCTCTCAGCGGAGAACAGATGACTGAATTAGCAAGAGGTTTACAGATGAGCTGCAACCACTTCTTGTGGGTGGTTAGGGACTTGGAAAAATTGAAGCTCCCGGAAAGCTTCAAAGAGGAGACGTCGGACAAGGGTTTGGTAGTGAGTTGGAGTCCACAACTCGAAGTTCTTGCCCACAAGTCGATGGGTTGCTTCATGACTCATTGCGGTTGGAACTCAACCCTTGAGGCCTTGAGCTTAGGGGTGCCAATGGTGGCAATGCCACAATGGACAGACCAACCAACTAATGCTAAGTTTATCACTGATGTTTGGCAGGTAGGGATCAGGGTTGAAGTGAACGAAGAAGGGATTGTCACGAGAGAGGAGATCAGCAAATGTATAAATGAAATTATGGAAGGAGAGAAGGGAAAGGACATAAAAAAGAATTCAGAGAAGTGGAGGGATTTGGCCATAGCAGCCATGAATGAAGGAGGGAGCTCTGATAAGAATATCGGTGAGTTCATTGCTTTACTTGCAAGCAATTGATCTCGATTCTAGGGTAAGTTTATTTGGTAAAGAATCAACTCTCTAGATTCATATTGTTTTTGCCATTATGTCATGAGATCTAAGTAGCAAAAGCTACATGTACAAGTTGAAGCTTTGTATTCAGTTGGTTCCCAAAATCGCTTCTTGGCTCCTATCTGTATTCCATTGGTTTGTTCCTGAAAAAGGTAGCTCCTCTCTGGAAGTTTTTCATATATGTCCTACATAGGCACAAATTGTACACTAGTACTGAACTACACTGCTGTCAGTCCAAGAACCGATGTGGCATATTAACACAAGAGCATCCAGTAGAGCATGTTCAAAATTGTTCAATGAAAATGGCAGATAATTCACCAAGGAAATTAACAATTCTTATTACCAATTTCAAAATATTTAATCATTAAGCAACTGAAATTGATGCCGAGAAATTGTTCAACAAAAGCAAAATTCCATGGACATAAATCTTACACCTACATTCACCCTAGTGTGCTACAGCCCAAAAGTAGTCAATAGGTTTCTATATTTTCCTTTTATCCGTAAAAACAATGTTTTTTCAAATCTCAGTATTATTCTTCTACAGCATTAACAAAGAATCAGTTCATATGCTACAGGAGAGATGAAATACAAAAATTGACTGTTGGAATGGGAAGCCACTAAAATTTGGCTAACTATTCTAGCACACTGATTTACTATTTACTCCCTATTATTGCCTTCTTCAGCTGTATTTTCTTCCTCCGGGCGACTACCCAATTTGACAATGTCTTCAACAAGAATCTTCCCATCTGTTTACATATTATGAACCAAGATCTTACTTGATTAGCCAATAACTTCCATTAACATTTTTTAGGGATATAAATAGAAGTACTCCGTCTACAGGATTTTTTTAAGGAGATTCCATCGACAAATATTAACAGACAGAGAATAAACAACTATTTGTAGGAAAATTCCCTCATGTGAATGCATTTCAAATATTAACAATTAGCTTGATAATAAAAAGTATAATAATTTTAAGAACTTTAGAACAACTTTTGCAGTAGCTTACCTTTATCTTTGGAAAGGCTGCTGATAAGTTCTTGGATACCATCCTTCCCTAAAGTATCCTTCAAGCACATAGCAGCAGCTGCTACCTCTTCAGGAGTTACTTTTCCATCTTTATCCCTGCACACATATAATTTTTTTTTAAATACTTTTAACTGTTAGGAGTGATGTCAAAAAATTAAAATTTTAAATCATAGTGAAAAAGAGGAAAGAAAAACTGAAGAATCAAAATCTAAAGAGACCAAACAACAAATGGTCAAGTTTACTTGCCAGTCCTCTGATCCCTAAAGTCATCAAAGTAACTGTCCACAGAAAGAAATATTCTTAATTTCCTACTTATTTGTCGTCAAGAAATCTCCTATGTAATTAAATACATTTGAGGGGAGGACAAGTTTCTAAGTTAATACAAAACTTATCTAGAATTTAATACATTATAAGTTCCTCCGTGAGACACGCACTCCATCTGCTCCACCCATCTACCTCATGTCTTTTTTTCCTTTTGCCAATTAGCATTGCTAAAAATTGGAGTTTACTTCATGTTGGTTTACATGGGACAACTTGATTGACCATTGGCAGTTTCCCTAGTTGGCTTGGAGTTCTATAAGAAAAACCTCTTCAGGAGGGAGGTCTGTGTTTCTTGTCTCCTGGTCTTTACAACAAAGCTTTCTCCTGCAAATGACGTTGGAGTTTCATGAGCGACAAGGACGGACTTTGGTGGAAGGTTTTTAAAACTAAGTACAACATGGAAGAAAAGAGAACAAGTGAATTACTTAGGGATCCATGGAAGAAAAGAGAACAAGTGAACTACTAAACAGAACAAGGATCTCCATAGGTTAGGTGTCTGGAAAGTTCATCAGAATTTGTCAGGATAAGTTCTTCTCAACTAAACTACAAAATGCGCTCTGGTCCTTCTGGGGATGGCGGGAAGGGAGGGGGGTGGGTGGGAGATTTTGATCATTGGGGGGGGGGGAGGGATTTTGATCATTGGAGGGGGGGGAGGAGCTGGGGAAGATTTTGATCAATAGGTGTTATATTGCCAAAAGAGGGGCACCATCTTGCTTTCGTGCCCCTGACACATCCTTTGTAGAACACCACCCCTTGATCTTCT